TCATTTAACTTTTTATGTTAAATGTGAGACAGAAAAAAAGTTGAATAGGAACATGAATTCCTTGAGAGAAAGATTATAATAAGAAAGATATTATTCTCTCACCTCAGATAATGAAGTTGTCAGCATAACAGTTTCAGGGCTAAGCAACCAGCTCTTTGCCCTGTAGCACACTTAGCATTCAAGATGTAGGAGGCAATTGGAAGTCCTGCTTTCTTGTTTTTTGTCTTTAAAGGAAGGCCAGATGAGATAAGTTATGTAGATCATCTTTGAGAATCCAAAGAAGGCTATAGGTAATATGCATGACACCAAATTTTACATATAATCAGAGAGAAATATTAGCTCTCAGGTGTATCAATCAGGATGTGCTGTAGTTAAAAAAAAAAAAAAACTTAGAGGCTGTGACAACGAGAGTGCCTCCTTGCCCGTGATAAATATTCATCTTGGATTAGCTTAGAGCTCTGCTCCGGCAGTCCTCATTCAAGAATCCGAGATGCTGCATCCTGCACCCCATCTGGGGCACTACTGGTTTCTGGGCTATGAAAGGCAACATGGCAGATCACATACTGGCTCCTGGGGCTTCCTGTTGGAATTGGCACACAATTTCCATTCACATTTCATCATCAAGCCAGATACCACGTGTAATCTTTCATGTGCTGAGAATAAAAGATTCAAATTTCAGTGAACAGATAATAACAACTGCCACATTTGATCAGGAACTCCTGAACTAGGTGATCTCTAGGTTCCTTGGCAGTTCAGGGTTTCTGTGAGTCCAGGTTAACCTATATTATGCTTATTCAGAGGTTTATGTGTCTAAATGATAAGTCTACGTGTCTAAATGACAGACACCAATTCCCTTCCAGTCAAGGGTCATCTTTATAACTGGGACAAGAGTGAGCCTTCTCCTAATAGTGTCCGAGCAGACCCTTGTGGACTATTGCCTCACCTGGAGTGACAATTGAGGAATTGAGTGATTCGCTCCCCGGTGCCCCTAGTGGCTTCCTCCTAGAGAGATTTGGTTCCTCATTGGCAAAGTTATCTCAGCAATTTACACATAATGAGCTTGAACCAGACAGCTGTTAATATCCCTTCCAACCCTGAAACTTTATGTTCTAGGCAAGTGCCTGTTATTATTGAATACTGGATGACCAAATTTTAGATTGGTCGAGCAAAGTGTATTTTAGGGAAAAGAAGTCTAGGAAAGTGGCCATGAGAAAGTCTAAGCAAGAGATCAGTAGCCTCCAAAGGCTGGTGTAGGTCCACAGCATCACCAGGTGCCGTCCACGGCACTGCAGGCGCCAGTGACTTTAGCCCCTTCATAATCTCCACCAGCCCTTTTTTCTTAGTTACACACATTTGACATTTTCTCAGTGTTTCGGAGAGTGCTGGTCAGAGGCAGCTGTAAGAGGAGTCGCCTTGTCAGCCTCCTTCCAACCAGAGTGCCTCCCTTCGTGCCTCTTTTATAGAAAGTCTGTGCCACCATGGACCACCTTCATTTTAAAGATGTGAAAACTGAACTGAAGAGAGGGGCTGAAATTGCTGAACAAAAAGGCCAGCTGGCGGCAAGGTCAGCTACCCATTTCCCTGAGACCCATGAGTCAATTGCAAGACCTGTGTTTGGGGCCTGGGATTGATCCAGAATTTTCCCAAGAAATCATCTTTCTAGATCTTTTACCTCAAGATACTCTACTTCCTCTTTTATTTTTCTTCATTCATGAATTTGGCCTCTAGTGTTGCAAGAAAAGGTTATGTTCACTCATAAGGTCTGCCTGCTTAAGGGACGTATGGACTCACGTCTTAATGCCACTCACCTTCGGCTGGTGCCTTAGCTTGGCGTATTCCGCCTAATGATGTCCTGAAGGTACTTTGCTAATCATTCTCACCCTTTCTGCTTTTTCTGCCAGTTAAGATTATAATAATGTCTTACGACAGGCTTTTTAAAGAATGAGGGCCCTGTGAATGACGATCTCTCTGTTTCCTTCTACAGTTCCTTATCAACAGAATCCTTACAATCCCCGAGGCAGCTCCAATGTCATCCAGTGCTACCGATGCGGAGACACCTGCAAAGGGGAGGTGGTTCGTGTCCACAATAACCACTTCCACATCAGATGCTTCACCTGTCAAGGTAGGAAGTCTGATTTCCCAACCTCCTCCTCAGATTCCTGGCCATGCTCTCACCCCAGGACGTGCCACAGGGCAGGCAGAACAAACACAGGCAGCTGAGACACCTATAGAGGCCTAAAGAGACCTCCCTTGAGCGGTCCTTCCTTGAGTTGTGAGAATTCTCCCTTAAGCAGCTGGTGTGAAGAGAAGAGAGAGGCAAGGGTGAGGGTGGTGGTGTGATATGGAGGAAGGAGGGAGTCTGGTGACCCAGCGTGGAAGTGCTGGCCCAGAAGGAAGAAGGCAGTTCTGCAAGCTAACGTGCCATATCTGAGACGACTCCTGGTTTGTGCCTGTAAATAAGTTTGAAAGTCAGTGAAAGAGCAAGCTGTCCTGGCTAAGATGTGGCATTGCTCTGAGATAAGTGTGAGGATTCTCAAAGATTAGATTTAACAAAGGGGAAGGTACTTCGTTTTGTTTTTTTTTTAATTGAAATACAGTCAGTTACAGTGTGTCCATTTCTGGTGTACAGCACAAGGCCCCAGTCATGCATATACACACATATATTCATTTTCTTATTCTTTATCATTAAAGGTTATTACAAGATATTGAATATAGTTCCCTGTGCTGTACAGAAGAAATCTGATTTTTTTAATATATTTTTATATATAGTGGCTAACATATGCAAATCTCAAACTCTCGAATTTATCCCTTTCCACACCCTTTCCCCTAGTAACCATAAGATTCTTTACTATGTCTGCGAGCCTATTTCTGTCTTGTAGATGAGTTCATTAGTGTCCTGTTTTTTCTTTTTTTTTAAATTCCACGTATGAGTGAAAACATACAGTATTTTTCTTTCTCTTTCTGGCTTACTTCATTTAGAAGGATGATCTCTAGGTCCATCTATGTTGCTGCAAAAGGCATTATTTTACTCTTTTTTATGGCTGAGTAGTATTTCGTTGTATAAATATACCACAGCTTCTTTATCTAGTCATCTGTCAGTGGACATTTGGGTTGTTTCCATGTCTTGGCTATTGTAAATAGTGCTGCTGTGAACATTAGGGTGCATGTATCTTTTCGAATTAGAGTTCCCTCCAGATATATGCCCAGGAGTGGGATTGCTGGATCATGTGGTAAGTCTATTTTTAGTCTTTCAAGGAATCTCCATACTGTTTTCCATAATAACTGCACCAGACTACATTCCTACCAACAGTGTAGGAGGATTCCCTTTTTGCCACACCCTCTCCCACATCTATCACTTGTGAACTTTTAAATGGTGGCCATTCTGACTGGTGTATGGTGATACCTCATTGTGGTTTTGATTTGCATTTCTCTGATAATTAGTGATTTGAGCATTTTTTCATGTGCCTGTTGGCTATTTGTATGTCTTCACTGGAGAATTGTTTAGGTCTTCTGCCCATTTTTGGATTGGATTGTTTGAGGTTTTTTGTTACTAAGTTTGTATATGCTGTTTATATATTCTGGAAGTTAAACCTTTGTCAGTCGCATCATTTGCAAATATTTTCTCCCATTCCATAGGTTGTCTTTTTGTTTTGCTTATGGAATCCTTTGCTGTGCAAAAGCTGATAAGTTTAATTAGGTCTGATTTGTCTATTTTTGCTTTTATTTCTATTGCGTGGGTAGACTACTCTAGGAGAATATTGCTAAGATTTATGTCAGAGAATGTTTTGCCTTTGTTTTCTTCTAGAAAGGTTTATTTTATATTTAAGTCCTTAAGCCATTTTAAGTTTATTTTTGTGTATGGTGTCAGGGAGTGTTTTAACTTCTTTGATTTACGTGTGGGTGTCCAGTTTTCCCAACACCACTTGCTGAACAGACTGTCTTTTTGCCATTGTATATTCTTGTCTCCTTGTTGAAGATTAACTGACTGTAGGTCTTTGGGTTTATTTCTAGGCTCTCTATTCTGTTCCATTGATCCATATGTCTGTTTTTATGCCAATACCATGCTGTTTTAATTACTGTAGCTCTGTAATATTTTCTGAAGCCTAGGAGGGTTATTCCTCCAGTTTCATTCTTTTTCTTCAATATTGCTTTGGTAATTCTGGGTCTTTTGTGATTCCATGTAAATTTTAGGATTATTCTAGTTCTGTGAAAAATGTCATGGGTAATTTGATAGGGATTGCATTAAATCTGTAGATTGCCTTGGGCAGTATGACCATTTTAACAATATTGATTCTTCCAATCCAAAAGCATGGGATATTTTTCCATTTTTTAGAGTCATCTTTAATTTCCTTAATCAGTATTTTGTAGTTCTCCCTGTATAAGTCTTTCACCTCCTTGGTCAGATTTATTCCTAAGTATTTTATTGTTTTTGATGTCATTTTTAAAAGGATTGTTTCTTTACTTTCTTTTCCTGCTATTTCATTGCTAGTGTAAAGAAATGCAACTGATTTCTGTATGTTAATCTTGTATCCTGCTACCTTACCTTTATCAGCTCTAGTAGTTTTTGTGTGGAGCTTTTAGGGTTTTCTATATACAGTATCATGTCTGCAGCATATGGTGCCAATTTTACCTTGAGAAGCTACTTCTTGACCTCAGTAGGGTTTATAATTTAGGAGCAGATGGTTGCTGGGCTCCCTCTAATTGTGACAGCTTATCCACAGCTAATTTATAGAACCCTAGACTCAACCAAGCTAGGAGTTCCCTAGAAGTCTTGCTAGTGGCAGGATCCTAGGAAGAGGGACTCAGCTGAAGGAGCCTGGAGAGCCCTCTGGCCCAAACAGGGTGACGCTCCCTGCCCCAGTGTCCTTGGCAAATGCCACTCCTGCCTCCACTTCTTGACCTTTTCTTCCAGGCTTTCTGTTTTACAGAGCAGCCACTCTGATGTTGGATTGTCCTCTGGATTTAGAAAATGTTTGACCAAAAACCTATAATTTCCTCTGTGGGTTTTAGATTTGTCCTCATGGAGTTTGGTGAGCACTGTGTGATTGCTTTTCCCTGGGGCCGCCAAGTCTGCCCCGTGCCCAGTTAAATTGCACATCCTTAAACTAGGCCTCATCTGAAATGATTCCAACTTGTATCATCATGCTGGAGTCTTCCCCCTTGATCCGCTTTTGGTTTGTCACTATCATTCCTAAAAGCATAATGCCCAGGACAGACCACAGTTGTCAAGGTCTCCAAGTACAGTAAGGTCCACATCCCTTTAATGTGACTGATATTGAATTAACTTCCTAAGGAACCACTTCACACCACTAATATATATATTGAATTTAGTGTCCGTTGAAACCCTAGGTCTTTTCATTTTAGTACCTGTTTCCAACCTCAGCCTCACATATCTGAGATTGACTTTCTCTGCCATTGAGTAAAATCCCAGATTTCTTTCCTAAGGATCTAACTGGACTCTATACTGAGCAAATAAATTCCATAGTCATATTCCCTAATTTGTTCCATGGAAGCTTATATGGGATATATTTTAATTGATATGATTTAAATTTTATGTTGAGAATTGGCAAACCCCCTTGTTGCAAGTTGACCTGCAAGAGTATCTTAGTGAGTGACCATCGTTAACATCCCTACACATTGAGACAGGACAAAGTGTAATAAAATTGTTGTAAGGAGGTGTGAGCTATGAGTCTGCAAATATATTCTTAAGAGATTGGATTTGTTACCTTTTACTTTAAGCCAAAATTTAATGGCTTAAAGCAATCTTCTGTGTAGCTCATGATTCTCTGGGTTGGCTGAGCAGTTCTTCCAATCTGAGCTGGCTCTGCTCTTGTCTGCTCACCTCGTTGTGATTTATGAGGGCTCAGCTGGCAGTGGTTGGCAGGCATTTGACCTGAGTGTCTCCATATGGCTTCTCATCCTCCAGAGGGCTGGCTTGGACTCGTCTGCATGGTGGTCTCAGGGATCCAAATGCAACAAGAGAACAGGCTTCAATAAGCAAGACCTTTTCAAGCCTCAGCATGTGTTGTACTTGTTAATGTCCCAGTGGCCAAAACAAGTTAAATGGCCAAGCCAGACTCAAGATTGTGGAGAAACAAATGTTGCCTTTTGTGGGAGGATCTGCAGCTTCAGATTTCAAGGATGTGAATACAGAGAAGGGACGAATTTGGCATTTTGACAGTCTACCATAGGGGGGTTAGAGAAACCCTTTTAATGGAGGTTTTAAGAACAAAAAAGACTGTTATTTTTCTCCATATTTTCAACATCAGCTTGCTGAGAGAGGATTTTTGTTTCCAGCAGTAACCAATATAGGGATTAGTTGCCCTCAATTAGTTGCCTTCTCATTTGAAAAATCTAAAATCTCTTATGAATTTCTTGTATGACCCTTTTAATGTGACTACTGTACTGACATGAAAGGAAGGAACCCGCAGAGGTGAAAAATTTTCTTTAAAAAAGCAGAAATCCAGGTGTGACTGCCAATGCCAGGTTTAATCCTGATGATTTATGCTAAATCTTAAGACCTTGAACTTTTACCTTGATGACTATATGGATCATGAGAATAGGAGTCAGAGCCGAGAGCCTGATCCAAGTAGGATTCTAACAGGAGACCTGTGAGTAATGCTGAGATTTCCCCCTACAGAGAGCTTCCTCTCAGTGTCTAGATGGATGAGAAGTAAACTGGAGAAGGAAACAGCATAGAAAGTTGGCCTGTACCAAATTCAGCACTGGGTAGAAAAGAATAACACTGAATCAAAATGCCTGTCCATGACCCATCCCTTACATGGACTCACGTTTTATTTTCATGCTGTATGTTTGGCTTTTTAAAAATTGAAACAGAGAATTTACAAGAAAGTGGCCCCATACTTCACAAATAGCAGAAGCAAATGGTAATCCTCTATGGAGGAATTCAGCTTTATTCCAACCTCCTAGAATTCCTACAGATAACATCATTAGCAAAATGAGTAACTCATGGTCAAAAACACACATATCATACTGGGGGAGAGCCAGCAAAAACAATGGAGAACCTCAGAGACTTCATAGATTGGAATTTTCTGACATTTTATAATAATTACTTTCAATACATTTAAACGAGCCAGAAAAATTAGCAAGAAACAACACATT